TGAAGAGCAATGACCGTTATCAGTGTCTCTCCCAGCCTTGGCTTTGAGCACATCAGTAGTATTCCTGAACCTGTGTCCACATCTGTGAGTGGGCGCCTGATACAGAGGGTCTCGGGGAGGATTAAATAGGAGAATGAAAGCCAGAAGCCCAGCACGCAGGAATCAAATCTGAAGGTGTCTTCCCTCACCCTCCCTCACCCCCATTCTCTTTTATTCTTCCTTCTGTCCCGGAGTGTCTCTCAGCTGGTTGGTAATCTCCTCCTTGAGCCCAGACGACTGAAGTCGGGAGCCACGGGGTGGCCAGGTGTGGTCTCAGTCAGTAGAGGGGGCTCCGCTGGAGGCTGGAGCCCCATGGGGTGGGCGGTGGCAGCACTGAGAGACCTGCCTTTGGGGCCATGTGTGTCTCTCTTCTCACGGTCTCCTCTTTCCATCCCCATCGTTGTCCCCAGATTCAATCCTGAGGAAAGGGGGCCTGGCAGATGTTGTGAGTGAGCACAGGGTGGGAGAGCTCGGGTTCTGCAGGCTCCTTCCACCAGCAGCTGTGCCGTAGTGTGGGCGAGGCCCTGTTGCAGATGCTGGGTGCGGACAGACCGACAGAACTCTCTGCTCTCATGGAGCCTGTATTCTAGAGGGGAGGCAGCCACACGTGGCAGCAGATCAGCCCGTGAGAAGGCGAGATGACCTGTGGGAAACAGCAGGTTGTCAGCGGGGAGGAAGTGCCCGCACTGGTGTGCGCCTGCAGTTGTGACTTTGGCTGCGGTTTTAAATCAGGTGGTCAGGGGGTGCTCACCAGGGGGCTGAGGGGATGAGGCTTCTGGACAACAAACAGCAGCAACAGTAACAGCCTCCACTGGAGCATGAACTCCATGCTAGGCACCTTAGCCTACCACTACCTTGGTAAGTCCCTGGCAACAGTGGGGCTCCCCTTTTATAGCTAAGGACAGACTCAAGGAGATGAAATAACTTTCTAGAGGTCACCCAGCAGAGCTGGGACTCGAAACCACACCTGTGTGACCCCACTGGGTTGTCCCAAGGAGCCATTCTGTCACCTGGCAAATGCTGCTGCAACCATGTACCTGGGCCCCGGGACTGAGCGGGTGGTTCCACCCGTGTTCCCAGCAAGGAAGCGGGCCAGATTATTCCATGTTTCGCACAGGGCCTTGCTCATAGGCTGCCGAGCACACCAGCCTCAGTAGATGAGGATGAATCACGGCAGAGAAGGCCAGCTTAGTCAGCAGCCCATGCTGGTATCTGAACGTCATCAGAAATGTCCAGCTGTCCCCATCCCCTCTCCCTGACCTCCCACTCGGGGCTGCCAGTGCAGTGATACGGTTGTGCCCTGTGCAAGGGCACCTGGCTGAGGGGTGAGTCTGCTCGCCAAGTTGTGTGTCCGGTGGGCGCTGTATCTTTCCAGGTGATTCTGCAGCCGCACCTAGTCCTGATGTGTGCCAAAGCACTGGAGCAGGACGGAATTGGGTGATGCCCGGTGAGGTCACCTTGCTGAAGGCCAGCTCCTGCCCAGGGAGGGGACTCTGCCTCCAGGGAGAAGTCCTGCGAGGCGGGCAGGCAGCCCTGGTCCTCTGGAGCCTGTCTGCTCCCCTGACACCATCCCCAAGCAGTGGGGGGCTCTGCGGAACTGCTGTGAAGAGCAAGCATTTGGGCCCACCACAGGGGCCGAGGTTCCAGTCCCACCTCTGCCATGTTCTGTGCACTCACTTCTCTCCTGACCTCACTCACCTCATCTGTGATACGTACCAGCTGCTCACTTGGGCAGTGGCATCCTGTTCCTTGTCTGCGCTTGTGTTTTCTAAAATAGCAGGCTTTTTGAAGGCTGCTGATGATGATAAGGACAACCAACACATTTCCGAGGCCTGTGGACCAGGCCCTGTGTTGCTTGAAGTGTGTATGTGGATGATTTGATTCCCAGCAACCCTTGAGTTGGGCACTGCTGTTTTCCCAGTTTTCATAAGAAGAAGTTAATTGCTCGAGATTGCAGAGTTAGAAAGCAGTAGTTTTAAACCCGAATTTAAACCTGGATGGTCTGGAGAAGCCGTTAGGATGGTCTGATTGAGCTGCCCGCCTGCTGCTTCACACACGGCGACACAGGCCCAGAGAGGGCAAGTGGCGGAGTCACAGCGTCACCTGGCAGATCTGGGACTAGACTGTGGGGGTCTGTTGGCCCATTCAGGATGGCTGAGTGCTTCCCCTGTGCCAGAAGGGGTGGCCAGGGTGGACACAGCAAGGCATGCTGGGCCGTTCTGCTGTTGCGGCCCTCCACTGGGGCTGATTTGCCCCCCACTGTGTGTGTGCGAGAGAAGGAAAACGTGAACACACACGCATACACACACACACACCCAGCCCTAGGGGGCTTATCATTTGGGTCCGAGTGTTGCTGAGCCTTGATTTCCCAGTGGGCTGGTGGGAGGCTGTCTCAGCAGACCCGAGCCCCGGGCACCCTGAGACCTACTCTGCCCTTCCTCAACGTGCCCTCCCGGGAGCACCTCACGGCAGCTCTCTGAGCCTCAGTTTCCTCATTCGTGAGTGAGATTCTAACACCAGCCTCTGGGGACCATGTGGTCCTGGGGGTATAGTGAGTGATTCATAAAGGAAAGCTGTCGTCGGCGTGCTTTGTCCGGAGGAGAGTTGCATGAGTGATTGGGAGGGGCTGTAGAGCCGTCCTGCCTGGATTCTAAACCCAGCTCCGCCGCCTTCTGGTGGCATGATCCTGGCTAAGTCACTTCACTTACTGGAGCCTCAGTGCCCTGTCTTGAAAAGGTATAACCATAGGTCCTACTGCAGAGGTTGTCCTGAGATGATGCACTTATAAAGCTTTCAATCTAGTGCCAGTACATAGTAGGTGCACAATAAATCAAGTGGTAGGTAATATTTATTTAGTCCTTCCTCAGTGCTGAACATTATTAGTGCCTCTGTACTGCTAGTGCTTTTGTTACTAGTTCATTGGGGTTAGCAAACTTCTCTGTACCACTCCCCAAATAATCAGGCAACCAGTTAGACCCACCGCCTCATTCCCACAGTGAAAGCAGAGGCCGAGAGAGGGAAAGTGACTTGCCCAAGGTCACATAGCTGGCTGCTCAGTGCCCTGTATGGCCTGGTCCAGCTAAGTCTGCTGCAGGGCCAGTGTTTCGTGTCTCAGTCTCCTGAGGGGCACCCCTTGCTCTGCCCCTCCCCTTCCCATTACTCTCCAGAGCCAGCAGCTCCTTGGAGCCTCAAGCTTCATGAATGGCTTGGTTAAGCTTTCAGCCTAAACGTTCATCTGTTACGATTTCAATCCAATTCCTATAAGTTTATTGGCAAGATGGGCTATATTAGAGCTGCCAAATTTAATATATCAAGTCCATGTGTCTGGGATGCGGTTTCTCAGCAGTAACGGGAGAACAGAGAGATTTTATATGTTTTCATTTTAAATGACTGTCTGTTCCTAATCCCATTACAGCCCTTGACTTAATGGCTGCTGTCCCTGTCTGCCGCAGGAGCAGCTTTCCCTGTCAGCTCGTGTGGCTTCCTGGACTGTCCAGGGGGTTTGTGTGTCTCGTGTCCCTCCAGTCCCTTCTTAACAAGATGCATTTCCCCATCTGTCTAGCCTGTGGGGCAGGTCCCAGTTCTATCTTTATCTGCCTGATCATGAGAGTCTGGAGCTTTGGCTGCTACCCTGGGCTGCTACCACATGACCTTGGGCAAGTCACCTGTCTTTGTCCTCTGGACCTCGGGACCCTGCTCTGTGAGAGGAAGGGTCGGAATACAGAACCCGAAGGGCGAGGGGCCTGTCTGGGCTCAGCCCATGCAGATCCTACCTGATGGCCCCGGTGGATTCTCCCCCGGCCTTGTGACACCACGAGAGCCGCAGACTCACCTCTGCCTTGGGCTGCAGACCTCCGGGGCCCAGAGTGGCAGCTGTGGCCTCCATGGATCTTAAGACAGAGGGAAATAAGAATGTTTCAGGGTCTCAGTTTTCACCTTCCTCTGTGATTGGCTGGGGACCTGCCACTTGAGAGGTTAGCCAATCTCCTTGGGACGCTGTTGGCATTTCTACCCAAGCCTCTGACTTCTCTAAGCACTGAGCTAGCTGTGGAAGAGCTGGATTTTAGGGGACCAGGGTTCACCTTCTGCATACCAACTATGTGACCTTGGGCAAGTCCTCTTTCCGAACCTCAGTTGTCCCTTAAGGAAAATGAGAATTAATTTGTTTATTTAAGAAGTATTTGGTTGCCTGCTAGGTACCACGCACCACTATGGGTGCTGGAGCTTCAGCGATAAACAAAACAAAAATATCCCTGCCTGCAAGCATTTATCTTCGTACTGGGAGAAAAGATAGTAAACCTAACAAGTGACTTACTGTTTTAAAGGTGATAAAAGTGAAGCAGGGAATAAGGAAAGCTAAGTAGAGGGTGGAGGGCTCTGCAGTTTTAAATGAAGTGGTCACGGTAGATTACTGAGAAGGTAGTATTCGAGCAAAGATCGAAGGAGTCGAGTGAGCACGCTTGGCAGGTACCTGGCGAGAGCACCCAGGCGGAGGGAACAGCACGGCAATGCCGGCGGGTGGGCCTGTGCCTGGCGTGTGTGAGGAGCAGAGAAGGGGTAAGGAGAGAGCAGTCGAGAGGAGGTCGGAGGCGTGGAGGGGGCAGCCGGCCTGGGGTGTGAGGTGGTGGTTCACTGGTTACTTGTGAAAATCTCCTGGGGAGCTTTAAAAATACTGGTGCCTGGGCCTCACCCACTCCGGCTCTGCTTTAACTGGCCTGGGGTGGAGGCTGGGCATCAAAATTGTTCCAAGATCCCTCTGAAGTGAGGCCTCCCGGGCACTGGCCCACGTGGCTCCTCACAGGCTGCGGCGAGTTTTAACCGAGGCAGAGCGCGTCCGGAAGGCCTTCCTCGCACAGCGCAGGCCTGGCCCCCAGGGAACACGCTGTCAGGGTGGTGTGCGGTGGGCTTGGGTGCGTGGCGTCTCCTCCACGCTCTGAATGAGTGCTTTGTGGCCCCCCCAGGCAGTGGCAGCACCTGGCGCAGGTGACCATGGGGAAGCGTTACTTCTGCGACTACTGCGACCGCTCCTTCCAGGACAACCTCCACAACCGCAAGAAGCACCTGAACGGGCTGCAGCATCTCAAGGCCAAGAAGTCCTGGTACGACATGTTCCGAGGTGGGTGTTCGCTGACCCAGCGGCCCGGCTGACAGCCCTGCTCTTTGGTCTTCCTCATCCTCAGACACAGGAGCGCTGTGGGCCCACAGCCCCTCGTGCAGGGGGGCCTCAGAAGGTCAGACTGGAGCGTGAGCGCCTCTCCCCAGGGGTCTTGACTGAGGGCTCGGTTCTCAGACGCCACCGTGCCAGGCTCTGGGGACAAGTGACCCAGGAAGAAGGCCCCTCCCAGGAGGCCATGTGTGAGCCAATAGCTGAAAGGCGGGGGAAAGCCAGCCACACCATTCTGGGCGGAGGGCGTTATTAGTTCCAGCAGCTGAGAGGGAAGGAGCAGGTGAGGCAGAGAGAATTCCTTGGTCTGTGACTCAGAATTCACAAGCAGGGAGTGAGCATTTATTGGGTGCCTGCTGCATGCCAGGTGCCTTCCGTGTTTTGTCATTTGCTTTTCTCAGTAATTCTCTAAGTCAGAGGATCTCAGTCCTTGGAGTTGGGATCACCTAGAGACCTTGAAATAAAAAGTGCTGATCCCCTGACCCCATCCCCAGAGGCAGGTTTGGGATGGGCCTAGGCATGATATTTTGAAAGCTCTCCCAGACTCGCCCCATTTCAGATGAGGGTGGGTGGCCAGGCTGCTCAGCAGGCCAGACACGGTTGCTGTTGCTGGGCTCTGGGATTGGGGGCAAAGGGGCCTCCTAGGTGCCTGGCAGGCCTCTGACCCTGGTGCCAGCAGAGACACCCTGTCCCCCAAGTCCAGCGGGGGCTGTGGTCTGGCATGGAACTGGGCCTCAGGGTCACCCTGGTGTTTGCCCCCAGTCCCAGACTCTCAGCGGAGAGCAGCCAGGCCTGAGGGGCCAGGGCTGATCTTCAGAGGCTGTTGTGTTACTCATAGAAAAGATGAAACAGGTGAGCCCCTTCTCAGGGCTCCTGAATTCCTAGCATCCTCTCACCTCACCAGCCACATTCAGTCCTGGAACAGATCTGTGAAGGGCCCTGGGCTGGCTGGGGCCCCCTAATTCAGGCGGCACCTTTGAAAACCAGAGCAGTGGGTCGCTCCACCCTGGGACCCTAAGCTGGCGTACAAGCTCTTTCCACTTCCTTAAGAGGCTTCCCCAGGGCCCCAGCTTACCCAAACGACCGCACAGTGCAGACTTTGGGGGGCAGGGGGAACATGTGGTACCCCAGCCTGGGCTAGGACTCAACTCTTGCTCTGCTCCTGGTTTCACATCCACGGACAAGTCCCTGAACTTCTGTCCTGCCAGAGTGCTGACCATGGTCCGGATCAGCTCAGGCCCTGGAGCTGGGCTTTCTGGGGGTCAGTCCCAAGGTGTCACTAACAGCGTGGCCCTAATTTAATCAGGCGTTGAACAGCCATACCAGCAGCACCCAACTCCCAGGGACGTGTAATCTCAGTCCTCTTGAGCTTACTGTATGGCACTGAGGGTTCACTCAGTACGAAAGGTACCTGTGGGTCCGCAGAAGGGCTGGCCTCAGGCCCCGTATCTCCTGGCTCATTCATCCAGCCGACGCCCAGGAAGCACTCAGCCGGGTAAGCCCCGGGCATGCCCTCAGCTCCCAGACAGCCTCGGAAGACTTACTGGTGAACAAAGCAAGGCCTCTCCTAAGTGACCTCATGCCCAGTGACAGCGGCGTATTCCGGGTGGAACCCCTGTCCTACCCAGGCCTCCATGCCCTGCTGACCTTTCCTTCTGAGCTGTAGCCACACTGGTCACTGCAGTTACTGTACCCTCTACAGACGTGCCCTTCCCGCTGTGTTCCCTGCCCACCACCCCCCGCCCTGCCGGTCCTCCCGCCTCATCTCAGGCAGAGCCTTCCGGGTTGCCCGCCCCACCGCTGGGGCCGGGTCAGGCCATTTGGCTTTGCGCTGGCTGTTTGCCCCTGTCCATCCGCGTGGATTAGTGTGGCTGTTGGACTGGAAGGAAGGACCAGGCCTGACTTGTTCTCCACTAAATCCTCGTCCTGGCACGGAGCCTGGCACACAGGACGTGCTCAGCAAATGTTTGTTAGATGAACGTCTAATTGAACGAGCAAACAACACAGGCACCGAGGCAGGTGTTAATATTGGGAGATGGAGCGAGAAGGACAGATGGGGTCAGATCACGAGGAGCCTTGAACACGAGGTGGAGGAGCGCAGGCTTCTTTGTGTGGGGCCTGGGCCCGGGGTTCTCAAGCTTAGGTGCACTTCAGACTCACTGAGGAGCTTCTGACAATTCTCATGCTTTCCCCATTAGACGAATTAAAGCAGAGCCTGAGCAGGATGGGCACGGGCTTCTGTGTTCTTTAAAAGCCGCCTGATGGTTCTACCGTGTAGCTGGGCTCAAGCACCGCCCGCCAGATGTTGGGCAGCCTGGAAGTCTTCTCCCAGCACTGAGCCACCCAGCCAGGGTCCCTCGTGCAGGCTTGCTAGCCTCAGCGCTCCAACCCCCAAGGGGGCCCTGGGTAATGTCCACATGGTCCCACCAGTCCACCTCCCCCGGAAATTTCTGTGGCGTCAGATGGCTGGACTGAGTCTGACAAGCCCAGTGCTGACAGGTGGACCCCTCCCCACCCCGCTGGTCCAACCCACGTTCCCCCAGGCCACCCCTGGAGTGAGTCCTCTGATATCCAACTCCTGACCCCAGCAGCCCACCCTATCCCCCAGCCACCAGCTACCCCGGGGAAGGGGGGAAGGGAGGAGCCCCCGTCAGAGCCAGCTACTCACCCTGAAACCAGGGGATGAGCAGCCACACGGGAAAGGGTGGGGGCTTTAGACTCACATGCCAGGGTTCAAACCCTCACTGCCGCCTCCTCACCATGTGCCCTTTTTCCCTGTCTGAACCTCAGTTTTCCCGTCTGCCAGAGGGGGTGTTCGTAGCGTTCAGTGGGTGTGTGAGGAGGAAATGAAATCAGAACTGCTGCCATTTGTTGATCATCCACTATAGAAGGTCTCATTCTTAGCTGAAAGTTAGCGTCACCTGGGGAACCTGATGCTGAGGCCATGCCCAACCCCACCTTCCCAGCAATGCTAACGTGGCATCAGGTATAGGAACGTTCGGCCCCCTGCCAAGTCTGGTCCATTCATTGTCTGCTGTCACAGCAGCCTCACCAGGTGAGACCTCCCCTGCCATTGTACATGTGGGGAAGCCTTCTCGAAGGTGACATCAGGGCAGTGAGTCAGCGCACCTTCCTCACATGTCTTACAGATTTCGATGAATTGATTCCTTGCCTTGCCTACCAAGAAGTACACAAAACTATACCATGAAAACAAAGGTAGAAGAAAAATCAGGGGAAACCAGGGTTTAGGTTCTCATCCAGAAAGGTCATTTCCAGGTCCTGTCAAGGCCGGCGACTGCCCTGGTGCTGAGGGCCCACAGCCAGTGTGCAGAGGGGAGCGGAGAGCGGTACTTTGCAGCCTCGGCTGTGGAGCAGTGCCTGGGCCCTGGGGTTTACTGGTGAGCTTCCTGGGCACCAGGAGTTTTGGGGGGGTTTTTTTTAGCTTTCTATTTTGAAATAATTACAGATTTATAGGAAGTTGCAAAGACAGGGCAGAAAAGTCTTATGGTACCAGCATTTAAAAAAAAAGAAGAAAAAGAAAAACAACCCCTTAGGTGATTCCACTGTGCAAAGCTCAGACCCTCTAACCTAAAACCGGTCCTTGCCTTTGTCTGGGTCTGGGCGGGGTAGTGAGGGGGTTGAGGTCTCCTGGAGCCGGGGTCCCTCTGCCCAGCACCCCCATCTGTGGCCTTCCCCTCTTACACTCCTTCATGGGTAGGGAGCTCTTTCCAGAAGTACCTGCGTGCAGCTTGGGTCTGAACCCAGCCGCTCTCTCCTCTCAGATGCAGCTGCCATCCTGCTGGACGAACAGAACAAGCGGCCCTGCAGGAAGTTCCTACTGACAGGTAAAGTGCTCTGCTTAGTTCAGCTCCCCCTCCTCCAGGGACCAGCACGCCCTGCCTGGCCTGCTGGGACCTCTGCAGAGCCTCTCCCCCAGCCTGGCCCCCATCCTGAACCCATTCTTTGGCCCTGGCGCCTCAGCCCACTGCTCAGTTGAGGCCTAGGGCTGCGCCTTAGGGCTTCTGGGAGCTTGTCCTCAGTTCTTCAGACCTAGAATGCGATTTTATCAGCTCAGCCGGAACAGGAAAGCACTGGCAGATTGTGCAAATCCAGGAGACACTGACGGGAGTAATAGACTGGCGGATTAAGTTAGCCCGGGAGCCAGACCTCCGCTGCGTCCTCCCTCCCGTCCTCCCTCCCGGCAGGCAGGGCTGGAGACAGTGACAGGCCTGATGGTGCCAAGAAGGTTCAGAATAGGAACCAAGGATGCTAAGTGTTGATGTGACTGCTCAATACCCACCTAATAAAGATGCATATACAATGGTTTTTCTTTTACTTCATTATTTATTTATATTTAGAGAGAAGGAAAAGGAGGGAGAAAGGGAGACAGAAACATTGATATGAGGGAGAAACATTAATCGGTGGCCTCTGGAACACCCCCATCTGGGGACCTGGCCTGCAACCCTGTCCCCTAACCGGGAATTGAACTGGCAATTTTTCCATCTGCCAGCGATGCCCAACCCACTGCCCCACAGTGGTCAGGGCGATGCATATAGTTTAAAGAGATAAAAACCTCAGTAAATGAAGGAAGCAGACACAGATAAAAAGAAGACAAAGCCAGGAAAATTAGTCTCCTCCCTGCCTGCTTTGAGGTCCTGTGTACCCTCTGAGGGTTTGGGCCTGAGCTTCCTAGCAGCCAAGGCAAAGATGAAGGCCATGGTGACTGACATAGTGTGTAAGGGGACTTAGCACTGGGGAGAGGTGCTGCTGTTGACCTCGGGAATCTAGGCGCATTCCCTCAGGGGATGGTGTTGCCCCTATGGGGCCTTCCCCAAGGACTTCCCCTTAACGTGAACATGCCTCTGGTCTGTTGCGCTGGCCTAGGACACCTCCAGTCCTCTGATATTTTGAGACACATTTTGGTCGTCTCAGTTGAGTTTCAGAAAGCCACCCTGGACTTTGGTGCCTCCTTTAATGGTACAAAGCTGCCATTGCTCCCCTTTCTGGGGAGCAGTGCAGCTGCTCTGCAGCCACATGGGCAGATAGGCCACTAGACGGAAGACACGGCACGGGCCATGGCCTGGAGTGGCGAGAGGAAGCATGGCTTTTTCAGGGACCCGCATGTCATTTGCTGGGGCTGGGAACAGAGGCTGGGGCCACAGGGTGATGACAAGAGCCAGACCTGCAGAGGCTTGCTGCCCAATCACAAAAGACTTCAGTGGGTTTTGATCCCCAGCCAGGGAAGGGTTATGAGCAAGGCATGATGGACCAGACAGCTTGTTTTGGCTGCTCGTGTGGGCGGGGCCACAGAGAGTCAGGTTTGTCTTCAGGAGTGGGGGTGCTGCTCCTTAGTCCCTAAAGCCTTGCCCCTAAAACTTCAGTGACCCCTCCACCCACAGTGGGAGCCCCGCCAGAGCAGCGAGTAACTCTGTCTTCCCTTTGCAGGCCAGTGCGACTTTGGCCCCAACTGCAGATTTTCCCACATGTCAGAGCGAGACCTGCAGGAGCTGAGCATTCAGGTGGAGGGTGCGTTTGGGTCAGGACCAGGGGCTGGGGTGGGGGTGGGCTGCTGGGGGCAGTGTGCAAGATCTGAGGCCGGGGAGGCTGCCCTGTGCCTCCTTACCGCCCCGTCTTTTATGGTTGCCATGGCGGGTAGGCGGAGGGCTGCCCCGGGTGACAGGGTGGATGTCAGAAACTGCCTCCAAACCACCCCAGGCATGAGTGGAGAAAGTGCAGGGGAGTTCCCATCTGTGCCCCCTGCTGGGTTTAAAGTGACAGGCATGGCTTCTCAGGGAGTCCTGAGGGTCACCTCAGCCCCACGTGGGCTCTCCTGCTACCCTGACGTTCATTCACCTGTGTGCTCCCTCCCTGCCTCAACCAGGCAACACACAGCGAGCCCCTGCTGCACTCTGGGGACAAGGGGGTGACGAGAGCAGCTTGCCCACCCTCAGCATCCTTGGGCCTCGTGGTCCCAGGGAAGGGCAAGTTCAGCTTCCCCTGGAATCTGGCGTGTCTGCCGTTAGGAAATTCACTTCTCACTTCTCCAACTGGAGAACAAGGAGGTTCCCACTAAGATGGTCTTTATCAATCTTCTCATGCAGCCCCTCCCTGAACAGAGGGAGAAACTGAGGCCAGCACTTGGGCAGAAGGGCTTCACGTGGGCCCCAAGCGAGGCAGAGGCCAGCTGGGGTCTCCTAGGGTGCTGCCGTGCTTACTCTGTCCGGTGGCCCTGTGGCAGCCAGAGTGTCTAGGGGAGCCTGGCCTTTGCCCTTGTGCCCCAAGGGGCCTCACTGTCCTCTGACCAATCAGACCCTGTGGGCAATCTCCTGCCCTGGGGAGCTGACAGTGCTATGGCTGCAGCCCTGGCAAAACTCAGGGTTTCCGGGAGCTTTCCCAAGGTGGAAGCGAGGCCCGTGGCCAGACCAGCAAGTCCTGGCCATGGCAGTACCTGCTGCTCTTCACCAGCCTGGGCTCTCGGGGCATCACTGGTCCATGGTGGGGAGAGCACAGGCCAGTGGGCCTGAGGCTGGAGATGACCCCTGGTGGAGAGAGGGCGGGAGAGGCCCGGAGGGCGGGAGAGGCCCGGAGGGTGGGGGAGGCGGGAGCAGAGGCGTGCCCCCAGCTGGCTCTAGCACATCCCGTGTGACCTTGCCACACGGCTTAATCTCTCAGGGGCAGAGCCTTGACCTGTCAGACGTGACCGCTTTTGAAGGTGGAGAGCGTAGGTGCACGCGCAGTGCTGGCCCAGGGCCGGGCCCACGGCAGGCACTGTCCACAAGTATGACCGTGGTTGTCTGGCCCTAGGCTGCATCCCACACCACGCCCCCCGAGACTCTGACGCCCTCTCACACCCAGCCTGTTTGAACTCCACCGGTTACTTGGTTTCAACTTAGTGAGCAAAGGTTTACATAGGACGTTTTATGAGAAGAAAGATCAGAAAAGCCGAGGCTGCTTCTCCTGCCCAGGTCAGAGACCTCACTGGTGGCTTAGCCAGGATTCGAATCCTGCTCTGCCCTGTTCTGAAGCCCACACGGCCTCCCTGCACCCTGGATTTGGGCTCCTCCTGAGGGCCAGGCTCTCCCCAGGCATTATCCTGTGTCCAGCTCGAAAAAGCGTGGGAGACAGTCAGTGTTTTACCTCCACTCGATGGGGAAGCAGAGTGAGGCCCAGAGGGGTGGGCCTGGGGAAGTGGTGGCACGGTGGGGACAGGCCAGAGGCTGTGCTCCTGGCCTCCCAGCCCGCGCCCTCCCAGGAAGGTTCGGAAAGGTTCCGAAAGGTTCTGACTGTGTTGTGGGAGGCTGGGATTCAGGTGGGGTGAACTTGCCCCTCACTTGCCTCTGTCTTCCTTTCCCCACAGAGGAGAGGCGGGCCAGGGAGTGGCCTGTAGACAGCACTGAACTGCCCGAGGGCCGTCTGGAGGACTGGCTGGAGAAGAGAGCCAAGCGGCTGAGCTCAGCCCCGAGCAGCAGGTACAGGTCCCGTGGGCCCCCACTTCCGTGTCCCCTGGGAGCAAGACCCCAGCCAGCCTGCCTTGACCTGAAGGTGAACACTCTCCATGCACTGCCGGAGCCTCGGTGCCAGACAGGGACTCAGCCCCCAGCGGAGCTCCCCCAGGGAAGGGCCACATTGGGGGTTCTTGAGCCCCCAAGTCTGGCCAGAAGCTGAGGCACGACCGTTCGAAAGCTCCTCTTCCTGGGCCTCGTCCCCCTGCCTTAGTGGCTCCTCCCTTGTCGGAGTCTGCGCTGGCTGCAGGGAGGCCAAGCCTCCTTGACTCCCCATCACCAGTTCCATGACCACAGGAGTCTGATTGTGGTTATTGAATCCCCCGTGTCCCAGTCTCTGCTGTGTCCCCTCTAGGGTCCTGCCAGAAGGGAAGCGAGGCTCACAGGAGGGTGTGACTTGCCCGAGGCCGCATGGCTGGAGGAGGCTGAGCTGGGAGTGCCCAGGGTTGTAAAAACAGGCTTCCTGTCATTGTCCCGGGCTCCCCTGCGGAGGGGCTCCTGCCTAGACCAGCACTCGGGATGCTCAGAAGTAGAGGGGGCGTCCTTTATTTCTTTGCATACGTACGCCCTTTACACATATGGGGAGCACCCTGGGTGGGGCCCTCATGTATGTGCTGGGTGCTGTCCCAGGTCCTTCTCTTCAAGCCAGGGCTCCCTGGGGCTCTTTGCCAGGAGAGAGAGGAGAGGGAGGGGAGGGAAAGGGGCCGAAGGGTGTGTCGTTGGCTGCCTGTGACTTTGTACAAGTTGCCCTACCTGGGACCACCCCACTTCAGACCCAGTTATCTCTGCGGTGTGGCTTTATGGGACAGCAGCTGGCCTGGCCTGTGTGTGGTTGGACAGTCTGTGGCACAGGGGGCAAACACAAGGCCCGCGGGTAGAATCCTGCCCTCCACCTTGTTTTATCCGATTCAGCACCTTGTTTCAACCCAGCGGCAGCGCTGAGCTCTTGCTTAACTGTTAAGGAGCAGTTACATTTATACAGTCCTAAAGTTACATTTGGCCCTTTGAAGGCAACAGCGAGGCTGATGTGGCCCCTGGTGAAAATGAGTTCGACACCCCTGGTCTATGGGGATGAGGACTTCCCTCTATTGTACAATGAACTTCCATTGTTTTTCATCTTTGTTTTAAATCTGTGCCCAGTTTTTTGTCCCCCCCCCCACCTTGAAAATACATATAGTACGGAAATGACTCAAATATTAGAGCGTCACATCCCTTCTTCCTCGTGGTGATGATTTGAGTCATATGGGCACCTCCTGGGGGCTGGCTGGCCACCATCACCCAGGGATTCACGTCTGAGCCTCAGACTTCTTTCTGCAGCCACTTGGAGGCCCCGCAGGGAGCTCTGGAGGCGCCCTGCCCTCCGGCTGGACCCCGCACTGCTCCCGGGATTAGCTACCTGCGCGTCCAGCTGCGCTGCTTTTCCTGAGCCATGCTCCCTCCCTGGCCTCTCACCCCCCTCCTGTTTCTGGAGTACCGCCTGCAACTGGAGATGACCCCAGACTCTCGAGGGTCCGGACCTTTCCCCCAGGCCTCTCCCCCTCTGTCCACGCAATGTGGCCCCTTCCAGGGGACCTGCTTTCCCGGCAACCACTTACTTATTCTCTATGTCCGCCCGCCATCCACCTGCCTCTTCAGGGCTCAGAGCCAAAGTGAATTATTCTCTGGGCAGAGCAGATCTGTCCAGCCTTGAGAAAAAAGGGTTGTTAGAAAAGAGGGAACCTTTATCATTGCTTTTGTCATCGCTGCCCTCTTTCTCAGCCCTCTCCTGTAGGCTAGTCTTGTGAAAAATGTCACCCAAATCCTGGGCCTGAGAGCTTTGGGCTCTGCCCCTGCAGGGGAGGGGGCAGGTGGATTCAAGCCCCGCCAGCACCCCCCACTCCCGCCTCACTGTTTCCCATGTCCCCCTCTAGGCAGCCCTGGAAACAGGTGCTCTGTGACCTTCAAACACCAAGCTCTCCTTGGTGGCCATGGCTGCCCCTCCCGGTCTCCTGCCTCCCCTCTGCTCCTCCAGTTCATTCCCACAACAGCCCAACAAGCTTCTAAAACACGTGCTGGCCTGGCCCTTGCTTAAACCCTCCTAGGCCTCCTCCGCCTCAGGTGGAGCTTCCCTGCCACTTCCCCGGGCCTGTGGGGGTCACCTTCTAGCCTGTCCCATCGGGCCTCTATGTCAGTACCCCTGGATGCTCAGCAGCTTCTTAGCTGTGGTGGGTGTTTCTGAGTTAGGGGCACCTTGTGCATGCTGTTTTCCTCCACCTGTCGCTGCCCCCCAACCTTCCCACACCTGGCAAAGTCAGACTCATGCTTTAAGCTTGGCTAAGGTATCACCCCTTCCAGCCCCCGGCCTCCCCATCATGGCCCTGAGCTTGCATTATTGTCATTGGGGTCTGGAGCTGGGTGACATGTGGCCTGCATGAGAGCATTTTGGGGAGCAGGGTCCCCAGCCTGGAGGACTATTTTCTGGGTGTCGATGCCATGGACCACCTACGGGGACTGATCTAGTGGCCCCTGTTCCTCTCTGGGTGTCTGTTTCCTCCCCTGGAGCACAGGACACCGGTGGCTGCCTGGCCTCTCTGGGGCCACCCAGACTCGAGGGCCCAGACCCCACAGACTGAGCAGAGCCCTCAAGGTGAGCCAGGCCACCCCTCCAGAACAGGGGAGAGGGAGGCTCCCTGGGGCCCCAGCAGGCGCACTGTGCCGTGTCCCTTGACAGACTGACCCTGAGGGCTGTGCCCAGAGCAGTGGGCGGAGGGCGGGAGAGGCCGGCCCCAGCCGAGCGGACTAATCCCCGGCGAGGCCGGTGCTTGTCTGCGCCCCGTGTTGTTGGCTCTTCAGATTGTGACTTTATCCCTCGTAACCTTCCCCTTCGCCCGCGCTCTGGCCAGGCACTGCTGTTGCGGCCCGTGCACCCTGCAAAGACTCTGTCCTTCTGATTGAGACCTCACTGGGAGAGCGAGAGCTGCTCCTGTCCTTGTGCCCGGACGCACCTGCGAGCAGAGCCGTGCCACGTGTGCAGCTCAGCGTCCCCATCCGCTCTGTGTGGGGCTGGAGGGGCTGCTTCAGGGGCTCAGGCCCGTGTGTCTTGGGGTCTGGGCACCGTGCCAGCGTCTGTGAGCACACGTGGGGGTGCCCTTCTCCCGGTGGGAGGCCTGAGGGTGCACAGGGGCTCCGAGTCCCAGCTGCCCAGGCGTCTGTCCCACCTTCTAGAGGGAGGGTCTGAGGCTCATGGGAAGGGGCTCCCCAGGATCATACCCTCTCTGTGGAGGATGCAGAGAACTCCGGCTTGGCGGGCAGCTGGGGCTGTCCCATCCAGTGACTGTGGAGCCTCCCCAACTCCCACCCTTCTCTGCAGCTGGTGGAGTTTATGAAATCTCCCCAGGGCCATAAATCATGCTGGGAGCTGCTTTCTGCGCTTTCCAACAGGCAGCAAGCAGCTGAGCAGGGATTTCCCTATTCATGTGCAAGGAGAGGCCCCAGTGGCTGTGTCTGGGCTGCCCCAAGTCCTCAAATAGGCTCTGTATTTGAGGTTCTCAAATAGACACCGCAGCGCGCTTCCTCAGGTCAGGCCCCAAGAGGGGCAGCCTGGGTGGGTACAGGGAGACAAACTCCTGGGCCTCCTGCCCCAAGTGCCCAGTTCCACCTCGGAGGCCTGAGTCCTCTCCAGACCTCTCGCGTAGGGCCAGCCACTGGGCCTCTGAGCCAGCCAGGAGTTGCCAGGCCTCGCCTTCACTGAAAGCGGGGGCTGGGAGTGGGGTGGGGCTGGATGCTGCTGGAGCTGAAGCCGGAGTGGGGCGGTGTATGTCTGGAGCCTACGTGTGGGTTGCATCCCAGCCCTTTACCCCTGTTCCTGGACTGTTTCACTTGAGAGTGTGCCTGACTCTGTATACCTCAGTTGCTTCATCTATAAAATGGGGTTTGCATGGCGATTCTTAAGGTTTCTCTAGGCCGTGCTGTCTAGTCTAGAGGAGTGCCTGGTTAGCATTGCTGTTTGTCATCGGCAAACATGCCCTAGGTGGCTTCCCTGTGCCAGTCTCAGCTCTGGGCTCTGGGGGACCCGATGGACCCGACCCCTAGCCCCTGGTGTCTACCCTCTGAGAGCTCCAATCCCATAGGGGAGACATGAGCTCCCACATGAGCTCACGGAGTCCCCGCTCCTGGGAGCGGCAGCCCGAGTGGGGGTCAAGTCCGGGAGGACTGGAATGTGGAACAGTGGGTGGGGGAGGTTGTCTCTGCACCTCAGCGCGCTTCCTCGGGACAGGGAGGCCCCAGGCTGCGCGTTTCAGATGGGCCCTGGGGTCCCAGGAAATTGTCCCAGGGATGGTGGACCAGACAGGGAAGGAAAGTGAGTAGCTTGAGAAATGAGGTTCCTAAAAAATTTTTAGACGGTATTTTTTTTTTTGGATTTCAAAGGCTTGCGGACTTGTAAAACTTTTCTTAAAAGTATAAAGAAGTAAAAAAAAAAAAATCCCCACCCATAACTGTGCAGATAGAGCCACTGCTAACACTTTGCGGTCTTCCAGGTTTTTTTATGCATTTATATATGTTATATATCTTTAAACAAAAATAGTATCATGCTATATACATTATTTTATAAGCTGCTTTTGCTACTACTCACACAGTACATCAGGATGCCTTTCCTCATCAGTGCATATAAGTCTGCCGTAACTCGTACCCAGGCTGCATAGCATTCTCTGCCGTGGACGTGCATATACGTGGCATCAGTCCCCCCCAGCCAGACACTGAGGTGGTTTCTGCTTTTCTCACCTCAGTTTCTGCCCACAACCCTGCTGTTTCCTTGGGCTCATTCCTAGAGGTGAGGTTGCTGGCTCAAAGGGTCTGCATGTTTTTGAGGCTCTGCCTTCCGGAAAGGTTGGCCCTCCCTACAGCCGGGATGGCGGGGAGGGTGTGCCGGGGGCCTGCTCCACTCTGATTCTCTGCCCTTCTCCTTCTCTCCAGGGCTGAACCCATCAGAGCCTCTGTCTTCCAGTACCCAGTGGGCTGGCCACCAGTCCAGGAGCTGCCTCCATCTCTGCGGGCACCCCCACCCGGGGGGTGGCCCCTGCAGCCCAGCGTCCAGTGGGGCTGAGTCCCTCACTCCCACCTGGCCCCGGCCGGTCAGTTCCCACTGCAGTCACAATAAAGGGTTCATACCAGGATGCGGAGGCCCCCTCCTGCTGTGCCCCCATGGAGCCTCTGAAGCTATTGGCTCAGCCTGGACAGGCCTTGGTGAGGCCCAGGAGCTCCCCCACCAGGTGCAGCCCTGGTCCTGGTCCTGCCGGTCAGCCTCACCCTCCCTCGGTCATGGGACACCTTAAGAAGACGGGTGAGGAAACTAGCTTCTGGATGTTTATGAAGAAAGTCTGTCGCTATGGTGATATGGCTACGCTTCCCCCTTGCCGGGTGACCTCAGCTCACTGCTCTGGCCCCTGGTCAGAGGATGGGCAGGGCTGGAATGATACAAGGTCTTCTTCAGGGTGACGGTGCTTGCTACTCTTCTCCCTTGGGAGCTGAAAGATGGCAGCCAGTGTGGCCATGACCGTCACCCATTTGAGAAGTGGCTCCAGATCTGGGGAGAGGAGCTCAAGGACTCTGTCTGCCATTCCCAGTCGTTCCCACACCTGCCCATGCAGAGCTGGTGCCCGAGTGTGAGCTGGCAGAACTGGGGCAGGGATGGGAGCTGGGTCTCCAGCCTAATTTGTGTTGAGAAATGTGGGGGACCCAGGAAGACAGGTCCTGGGCTTGCGAGAGTGGCCTGGCTGAGCTTCCTGGCACGGACACAAGCCCCTCCAAGGCTTCTGCCCTGGAGGAGTGGCCTGGCTGGTGGGAAGATCACACAGGCTGCTCAGGCGATTTGGGGCCTCCAGGCCCCTCTGCTTCCTTCCTCAATTGTAGTCCAGCTCTAAATTCTGTGCTAGGGTGGTAGTGGGCAGTGTGGCTCGCAGGCCACTGGGCCTCTCGTCGGGGGCACCCAGGAGGTGGGGGGACTGCAGGCACCTCAGTTGCCCCATCCTTCATGAGCTTCTGTCCTTCCTGAAAATTCTACCGATAGGGGAACTAAAGCCAAATCTGGGGGCCCTTTGAGCCTTGGGCCCTCATCTGTGAAATGGGCTGGCTCTTTGGCCCCAGTGAGTGTGTGGAGGAGGGCTGGATTTGAGTCTCCCAGAGGAAGGGACCCAGCAGAAGGCCAGGGGCCTTCTCAGTCCATGCCAGGAAGTAGGACCCAGGACACCCTGGCCTCACCCCCCTACCCTGCCCCAGGAAGAGGCCTTCTGTCCCACCTCCACCACCCTGCCCATGGCCCAAACCTCAGGGACCAGGGACAGACTAGCTGTGTGGCTCTGGGCCCAGGGTGCCCCTTCCAGCCTAAGGGACCACAGCAGCTACTGGGCCCTGCACACATCCCTCAATTTCCCAGGAGCCCCTGGACAGTGGGAAGAGTTAGTGCTACATACAGGCCAGGGGGACAGGGGCAGGGTACAGGCGGGGCTGGGAGCCGTCCTCAGAGCCACCATCAGACCCTCCACAGCTGGGCCATGGCTCCATGCAAGGGCGGGTGGGGCGGGGTCACTGAACCTCCAGGCCCCGAAATGCACACAGTGGTGGCGGCCCAGGGTGCAGCTGAAGGAGAGGCCTGCAGGCGGTGGTGGGTGTGGAGGGGGCCCCGCGCATCGTGTGCACCAGAGGAGGTGCCCAGGCGGTGCCTATTTCATGCCGCTGCGCAGCACCTGGTTGGCTGCGATGAGCATGACGCTGATGATGAAGGCGATGGCGAAGGCGCAGATCAGACTCTTGCGCACGCATGTCTGGCGGATCTGCTGGTTGGAGCAGGCTGTGGTTGCCCGCCAGGGAGCACCAGAAAGAGACAGAAGGGGACAGTGGAGCGATGGAGTCAGGAGCTGCCTGCACTCCTGCACATGGGTTTGTCCCGTGGGGCGGACAAGGACACGAGCCTTGGAGGCAGGCGAGGAAGACCGAGCCGCACCCCCCTCCCCCCAGCCATGCATACCCCTGGTTCCACCCCTGCTCAAGCAGTTGGCCTGCCCAGGGGGTAGGTCCCAGGGGTCGGTCACTCACTCTCCACATCCACGGGGCACTCCTCAGCTGTGCCCAGGTGGCTCTCCTCCTCCGTCATGATAATGTTCTCGATGTCCTTCATGGACAGGTGCTCACAGAAGGTGTCGTAGAGCAGCCGCTTCAGCTCATCCACAGTCAGCTTCTGCATGTCACACTTGGGTGGGAGGGGACACAGTGTTCTGGCCACCACTACCCCCACAGTCCCCATCCAGCGCCTGCAGCCATTTGAGCCGGGACGGGCCTCCAGATGCTGCAGGGCTGGAAACCACTCGCTCCACTTGTCGAGTCCTTGCCCAGCTTCTCCCGGGAGCCCGAGACCCTCTCTCTGGGAGACAAGACGTCCAGCGGACAGAGGACTGGAGTGGCCATCCCCCCTTCACAGAGCAGGCCTGGCCACTCACTGGTCCCAGTACAGCCCTCCACAGTGTGCACAGCCCTGGGTCCCCTCCGGCCCTGGCATACCTTCCAGAAGACAGTGTCAAAGTCAGTGCCATGGAACCTCTCTGGGATCCCTGAGGTGGAGAGCTTGGGTCCCAGGAGGGTCACAAACTCCTCAAAGTCCACTTGGCCATCACCTAGAGTAGGCACAGGTCCAATCAGCGGGGTCAGCCTGCAGCTGTCTGACCTCAGGCAGGTCCCCTCCTTTTCTAAGCCTTGTCACTTCTAGGGGCACCTACATTTCAGGGGCTGATGCTAAACCCAAGTGTGATGAGGCTCCACTGACGAGGTGGGGGGTGGAGTGCGGCAGGTGCGCCCTGAGGACGCGGCCTTTCACCCAGAACCCCCACGGCTCCCAGGACCCTGCTGCTGCCCCAGGGTGGGGTGGGGTGGGGCCCACATTCCCCGCCACACAGACAGGACATGGAGCTCAGGAGGGGGGACAACCTGCTCTCTGAGTAAAGAGGAGGCAGGGCACGGGTGTGAGGGAGGGGAACTGTGCATTGCTGGTCCTTATTTCTTCAATAATAAAATGCCAGTTGGCAAACACAACTAAATCATTTTCTATTTTGAATGGTCAGACCTGGGACATTTAGTATATCCTTCTTCCTACTTTCTGTACTTAAATTTTTCTCAGGATACAGACCAGGACGGGCAGAGTCGGACCACTGGGTGTGGCTGGGGCTGTCACACTGGCTTCAACTCTCTAGGTTCTCCAGGCTAGGAGACGGGGTCAGACCTGGCTATAAGCCAGGCTCGGGGATGGCTGGTAGTGGGGAGAGTGGGAGTCCCCAGAGGTTCAGGCCCCATCCCCCCAGGCAAAGGGCGAGGAAATGGGGCAGCACTCACCGTCCATGTCCAGTCGCTGGATGATAACTTCCAGCTCTACTTCGTTGGGCATGTAGCCCAAGGAGCGCATGGCTGTGCCCAGCTCCTGCTTGGAGATGAAGCCATTGCCATCGCGGTCAAAGACTTTGAAGGCCTCTCGGATTTCTGTGGGGGGAGCAGAGCAGGCCAGGACTTCACTCTTGTTCCCTGACACCCTACTTCCCACACCGCCAGGATCCCCAAACCCGCAGCCTGAGCCCAGCGCTGAGAATCCACCAGAGCCTGCGGGTCTGGTCAGAGCATTGGCAGGTGGCCCAGAAGTCCGCAATAGCGCTGCTTCTGGGAGCTCGGGACAGAGCAAGCAGCAGAGGCGTGCCAGGCCCTCAGCAGGGATGCCACCTTCCCCGGGGTCTCCGTCTCGGTGCACCAGGCTCCCACGGCCTCTCCAGGCATACTCACAACGACCCCGTGTGGCAGGAGCCATGGATCCCACTGTGCAGGGGAGGAAGCCAGGCGGCGCCTGCCCGCCCTACACTCCTTCCATCCTCACTCTCCCCTGTCCCCATCCTGCGCTCCTCCCCACCCCCCAGCTCGGTGGCTCAGGCTCAGCTCCTCAACACTGGCCGACACTCTCCTGACAACCACGGAGGCAGCCCAGCAGGGCTGGCAGCTCAGTGCAGACTGCCTTGGGAGCCCAAGGTTTGCAAGGAAAGGGAGGCCGGACAGAAGGGTCCCAGCTGGCCTAGTTCAGCTCAGATGTGGGGGGCCCTCCCTCCACTCAGGTATACATACAGAGGGGGAGACAGGCCCAAAGACCTGGATGACTCAGGTGGGGCAATGCAGTGAGCTGAGAACCTGGGAAGGAGCAACCCCAAGAGTGACCTTGAGCGAGCCTCAGACTTCCCCAAAGTAAAGCGGGTGGTAATGAAGGCAGAGCGACAAGGTTTTACCAAGGATACCCAGGAACCTCTTCTGGCTCTACCCCTGTTTCTCTGCCTGGTGTCCCTTCATTGTTACTCAACCTGACTGGCCCAAAAGAGCATTTTCCTTTGGGGCAGAGCTGATCTCAATCCACTTGTGCCCTCTCTGCTCCAGCACCCCGAGTCTCCTTGCTCATTCGCCTGCCAGTCTCCCGGCCTTCGCTTAAGCTGTTTCCCTGGGTGGGACTTCAGCAGGCAGAGGCCACCTCAGGGGTGTGTGTGTGTGTGTACACGCACAGGCATTTTTGGAGTACAGGCAGATGAGATAACCTTCATGCTGCAGAGCTGGAAAATGAGGCGCAGGGAAGCTAGGTGGACAGTTCAGGGTCAGTGTGGGGTCCGGGCCATTTCTAGTGAGAGCAGGAGTTAGGCTGGCCTGAGCCTGGCCTTAAGGGTCTGTGAGTCCCTGAAACTGATTGTGTAATTCTGCATCTTGGGGCCATTCCCTGATCCTGCTGGCCCCACGATAGCCCAGAGAGGGTGGCCGAGTGCTCCAGGCTACCCAGCAAGATAGCTTGGACAAAGGCCCAGAACTTCATCAGGTTCTTCCCACCTGGTGTCTGCACCCACAGCCTGGAGGTGAGACTAGCTGCAGTGCAGGCCGGGCAGAAACGGAGCCGCAGATCCTCTGACTCTGAACCTTGCCCTTACCTGTCTCAGGCAGGACCTGCCCGTCTGCAGGATGGGAGCTGGGAAGGGAGATCTGTGCAAGGCCCAGGGGTTTCTGTGAAGCCCAGACTCTGGAAACTTTGGGCCAACTTCCACCTAGAGGTTTCCCAAGCCACCGAGGAGTGGTGAGCTCCCCATTCCCAGAGGCATGTGAGCAGAGGCCTCATAGTTATGGAGGCTGCTGAGTGCCTTCCAGTCGCCTGGGAGTCTCTGCTAGAGATGAGTGCGCTGGCCGTGCAACCAGGGACGCTCTCTGTCCCCTCGCCCCCATACACACACTCAGGTCTCTGGCTGGCACAGCTGCCTTCCTGGCCCAGCCACAGGTCCGTCCACCTCGGGTGTCCTGAACTCCAGCTCCAGGAGCCCTTTCAGTTCTGCGGGCACCGGGGCTGCTCCAGCTCCAGGCCTTCAAACAGGCAGCTCCTCTCGCCTGGAATGCTCTTCTCTCGCCATGGCACACGCTGATGCATCCCCGGCTCCCGGCATGGACACATCACCCGCCCCCCCACCCCCACCCCCGGTGCCCTCCCTGCCTCGTGGCTGACTCTGGGCTCCCTCAGATCCCGTTCTTCTCCCACCTTGCACTGACCACATTGTATTTGAACTACTAGTGCCATGAGAGCAGGGACGGAGCATGTTCACCGCTTTGTCCCCATTACGTGGAACAGTGCCTGTCATTCAAGCATAAACATTTGCTGTGTGAATGGTTAACGGATTTGGGGAACCCACCCATCTGAAGCGCACAGAGAGGGGAGCTGAGCAGGAGCTTTTGCAGCTCTTCATGTGTGGCCGTCACTCAGAGATCTCAGGGTGAGATGGCAAAACTCTGAATCCCCGGCGGGGCTGCAGTGGGCACTGGCCCCCTCCCCTGCAATGAACTGGGGTCCGGGTGGTCCCTCCCACCCTGGCAGGGGCCAGGTGTGGCTCCCGGAGCCCAAGGCTGCTTCAGTTGGAGGCCCGGACCCCCTGCCGGGAGCCCCCAGGAAATGCCCTGGGTTGGCAGGAGACTGGTGCTTAGGTGAATCATGGGGTATGTGGGCAGGTGACAGGCCTGGAGTCCGCCCATGGGCCCCACAGCCATTTTTCAGGCAGGACTAACCTCCTAAGACCACTAGATAAATCCAAAAACTGCCTCTTCCACGTCTGTGCATCCCTTCTGCCATCCCTCCCTGGCACACCCAGCTCACACCTCGGGTTGCCTCTCTACCTTTGCCAATGCCAAGGGCCCTGCCCCAGCCCCAGCTGACACCCAGGCCAAGTTCAGGGACCACCTCCTCAGCTAGAGAGTCAGCTCTAAGTCACAGAGACTCGGGTTAAACCCCAGTTCTCCTATGTGCTGGCTGTGTGACCTTGGCTGGTGTTTGCTCACCTGTACGATGGGGCTGCGGGGATGACTAAATATGAAAATCAAGCATGTAAGTGCTTGATGGTGCCGGGCTTGGCTCAGAACAGGCCACTGCAAATCAGAGCGTCAGACAGCAGCGCCGGAAGGAGCAGGAGGACTATGTGAGTTCTGGACACCAGAGCAGCCTTCCTCTTGGCTGGTGCCAGGACTTGGGGGCCTGGGCTTCAAGTCTAGCTCCGTGGCTCAGCAGCTGAATGATCTGGGCAAGACAGTTCCCTCTCTGAGGCTCAAGTGCTTCATCTGTGAAATGGGAGCGTGACTCTTACTCCATTGCGGAGGCCTGGACCTGCTGGGGACTCCCTGAGTGCGGGGGGTGGGGGGGCTGTCACGACTTCCCTGGTGCTGCTGCTGCCATCAGCACGTCCCAGCTGGGTGCATTTCCCCGAAAGCCTCGCTCTGTTCCTGCAGCATGAGGCGGGGGAAGCCTGCTGTGCTCCATCTTGGCATGGGGACTCTTGGCCCGGGAAAGGGCTGGCAGGGCCTCTGGGTTTCCAGGCCCACACTGTCCCCCACCTATGGCCTCCTGCCTGACACCCCTAATCCCCTCCCCTGGGTCGTGAAGCTGTCAGGGCCTGAGTCCTTAACAGGCTCCAAGGGACACAGGCACTCTGTCAGAGAGTTGGAATTGGAGAGGGGTGCGTGGGCTGGAGGTCACTGCGGGGCTGGGACAGTGTCTGTCCTCTGCAGTGACTGGCGCTCTCCGAGATGTTGGCCCCACGCCCCATCACTCCAGCCTCCCTGAGTTCCGGCCCACACAGAGGCAGCTGCTGGGCTTGCCGGAAAAAGGGGCATGAATGGGGCTCCCCTGCCCCCCACTCACCAAATGCCCCTATTTGGCCACTCTCAATGCAGGCTCCACTGTCCCACTGAGGAGGCCGAGTGCCAGGCTCAGAACCCTGTCCTGGTGGCCGCCTGTTTGTTTCCTCCCTCCTCTGGGGCCGGAGAGGATGGGACTGCGGCTTGCAGGTGCCCCGTTCCCACCCTCGGGTGCTCAAGCCCCATGATGCCACTGGGGCCAGGCTCAGTGCTCCTGCAGGTCTGGGGCTCTCTGCTGTGTGTGAATGTTGGGGAGGAGGTACAAGGAGAATCTGGGGGAGCTTCCCACAGGGGGCAGGTGATCCTAGGCCAGCTCTACCTATCCACATCTACCCTGCCGACTGCCATCCATGGCGCCCCAGGCGCGGGGTCCCAGTGCCTCTGCCAGACCTTCAAGGCCCCTTCCACCCAGCCCCTCCCCCCACCTGCCTTTCTGGTTGGGCCCCCTGCAGGCCCTGCAGCCCTGCCTCTCAAGCCTTCGCTGGTCCCTCTACACTCCAGACTCCAATCCCTGCAGGGCCCCCTCCGTGGCCTCCCCTGCTGCCGCATCTGTCCAGCCCCCACTGCCTGTCAGGCCCTGCACTGAGCACTTTCATCACACTGTCGCCAGCTGCCCTGAGGAGGGGTAATGCCAATCCCCTTTCACAGATGGAGACACCAAGGCAAGAGAGGCAAGTGACTGTCTGAGGTCCCTCTGTGAGGCAGGGGTGCAGAGACTCGAACCCAGTGCTGCCTGGAAAGCCCTGATCTTAACCCTGAGCTCTCCGCCTCCCTTTCCGGTCCTCCTCCCCCTTGGACTAACCACCCCCTGGATTTCTGCAGCAGGCACGTACTGTCTGCAGCATTTCATCCCAAGCTGCCAGGCTCCCTCTTCTCGGCACATGTGGCTCCCCCACTGATGGGCATCCTCCCAGGAAAGGGCCTGGGTGTTACCCAGACTGCCCTGGGGCAGAAGCACTAATGGGGCACTGGGGAGGCGGTGAAGCGGCTGGAGGGGGGATCTGTGCCAGGAATGGTCACCCTGTCCACACAGCCCTGGCTTCCCGGGGTCACTGGGGCCTGCAGAAACTTGGTCTCCTAGAAGGAGGGCTTTCGGGACGCCTGCAGCCAAGGCAGGGGTCAGTCGTGGGGGACTTTTTGTCCTCCTCTGTAGATGCCCGTGGGCCAGGAGATGGGCTGGGGCCACCTGGGCAGCTGCTTGCTCCACAGCCCCTGCCTGCTCACACCAAGGAGGGCCTTGCCCTTCAGATGCCCCCTGTGCCAAGCCCCTCTGCTCCCCAGGGCCCAGGAGAAGAGGACGGAGTGGAGCAGGGAGTGCGTTTGGTGTGGCTGGTGGCTGACGCTCCTGGGCTCCTGCCAGCGTGGCCAACGGGCAGCCCAGCCCAACAGGCGGCTGCGGCCTCCCGGCCCCCGCACTGCCTGCCCTGTGCCCCACTCACCCCTGCGTCTTAGACTCCTCTCGGCCTCTCCCCTTCAGGCCTGGGAGACTGGGAGAAGTGGGACCCAGTGAGGTCCAAAGCAGGGCTGCCAGCATCTGGTGGGGGGCTGGGAGCAAGGGGAGGGACTGAGGTGGAAGCGGCCTGGGGTGTGAGGGGACAGTGTTGACCCCTGCCTCAGTGGCCAGGAGGGGGGAGTGGTGAGAGCCTGCAACAGGGGGCACAGGCAGGAGGTTTCGGGTGGCCCAGAGCAGGAGGAGACATTAGGGAAGAGAGCCCAGGCTCCATCCCCTGCCCCCTCGCCCCTCATCATACTCCCTCCTTGTCCCAGGCCCTGGACAAGGCTCTGCTTCATGGACTTTGGCCCAGACAGGGGAGGGATTTGGGTTTTGGGGTTCAAGACCAAAGACCCAAGAGCAGCACCCATCCCTCTGTCCTGCCCACATCGGACACCAGAACCCATTTCGGTGGCTCTCTTGGCCTCTGGGAGCTTTTCGGGGGACTTGGTGAGGAGCAGGTGGCCCGTAGCATGTGGTGCAGTTGGGGGGATGGGAGCTGCCTGTTCGCTCTTGATCTTCCCCTTAAGCCAGGGCTGACTTGCCCGAGACCTGCACGCTCCAGGCCTTGGGGACAAGAGAGGTCCTTTCTCCATGTGATCCAACGTGCTCCCACCATCCCCAACTGCGCTGGTGTCTCCGCTGCAACCCTCCTCCAGACTCTGATAAGCCCCGGGTGGCAGAGACCCTGGACCCAAGTAACTCCGAAAGAGGCCGGGCCTCTGGGTAATCTCAGCCCCTCCCCCAACACCAGACAAGAAGATCCCGGGGGGCCAAGAATCCTATCAGCCTGGAGCCCCCCCCACACACACACACTTCACTCCTTATGGGGCTCCAGGAGGTCTGGGGCCAGGGGAAGCCTGAGTACTTGCCCGCATCCCAGTAGGGGAAGAGCTCCCAGGCCCCAGGGGTCTCGCTGCTCCCCAGAAGCCTCGGTCCGCGGACTACAGCCCCTGCCCTCTGCCCCCAGCTCACCTAGTCCGCTGCCTGAAGTCCCCCATTCATGTCCAGAGGCAGAGGGACTGGGGGTGCCTCTCTGCCTTTCCTTTTCCAGGCTTGGTTATCACGACCAAGCCGCTGAATCTGGCCACTTGTTGTCGCCACCACCTCCCCGACCGCCTTCCCGAGCTCGGGGCTGGGGGTCCCCCGCAGGGCTGTGCGGAAGAAGCTAAGGCCGCAGGAGGGGCTGAGGGGCAGCCCCGCAGTCGGTAAGCAGGGCAGTTGCCCTCTCCCCTTCTCCAGCTGCCCGAGCAGATTGGATTTTAAAAGCTACACGAGTGGAATATCAATGCGAGCGCAGAGCCGCGGGCTGGCGCCGCGGAGGGGATCAGGACGCGGGTGCTCCGGCTGGGCCGGCGCTGGGGCGCAGCTCGGACCCCTACCCCAACCTGTCGCGTTGCCGCACCGCCACCGCGGACTGCACGGCCCCGTGACCCCGATGCGGGACCCAGCAAGTTTCCGCAGCGCTGGGGACCACGCGGGCAGAGGCTGGGCCGCCCCTTCGCCTTGGCGACCCTCACCGCGGCGCCCAGGGGTACGAGCTGGTCCGGCCTCCATGCGCAGCTGCTCGCTGGAGCGCTCACCTGGCAGCAGGCACCTGCGGACCGCCCCGCGCCCCCCTGCGCCCCTAGCCCGCGCTTCACCTGGGCGCACAGGTAGGAGGGCCAGCTGGCAGGGGTCCCGGTGGGGTACTTACCCTCCAGCTCATCTTCGGGGATGTCCACCGGGCGCTGCTCCGACAGCAGGTTGGGCACGGTGTAGATGCCCCGGTACATCAACGCCGCCGTCACCGGGTGGAACGGCATTTTGGAGGCTCCGCGCCCGCCCGCCCGCCGCAAACTTTGAGGTCGGGGCTCATGGGCCGGCGGCGGCCCGGGGGGCGGCTGGAGCGGGCAGGGCGCGCAGCTGTGAAGGGCGGCCCGGCGGCGACAGCAGCGACGAGGCGAGGTGCCACCCGTCCGGGGGCCTAGCGCCCCCGCGCTCCAAGCCACCGGTCCATGCCGCCCCCTCCCTCGTAGGGCTCCGGGCCGGGGCCCCTCAGGGGTGGTGGGGGCGGCGCCGCTCCGGCCTCTCTGCTCCGGCTGCCCAGCGCTGCGCCCGCCGCGCCGGCTCCTCGGTGCCCCGCGCGCTGCGCGCTGCTCGCCACCAGCTCGTCCGCTGGCCCGCGCGGCCGCCCAGCCCGCCGCTCCGGCTCTCGCCTCCTCCCCGGCTCGCTCGTTCGCTCGCTCTGTGCCGGGCTGGCTGCGCTCCCGCCTCCCCCGCCCGCCGCCTGTCCGCCCGCCCCCTCCGCGCTCCCCGCCCGCCCCTTCCCGCCGCCGGCCCCTGGGGGGCCGCCCCAAGCCCGCTGGGGGTTCCTGCTCCCCTTACCTCGGTTGCCCCTCTCTCCCCGGGGAGGATCACTCGCCCCCCACCGCAGCCACCAGGACCGCGATGAGGTGAGGCCCTTTCTCCCTGCCCCTTGGCCCGCCCCTACACCCCTCGAACTGAGAGCAGGGACGGGAGGACCAGAGACTTGGCAACGAGGTTAGGTCGGTCCCAGGCGTCTGGTCCTCGAGGAGAGTTATACGATGTTGGTGCCAGGAGAGGCTCGAAGGTGGGGAAACTGAGGCCGAGAGAGAAGGGCATTTACCAAGGTCATGAAGCAGGGGCGGCAGGCAGGAGCCGGTCAGGGTCTGGGGCAGGCGCCCCTGCCCTGTGGCTGAGACCTTCCCGCTCGCAGTACAGAGCCTCAGTCCTTGCTCCTTCCCAAGCCCCTGCCCCTTCGCCTGAGGAGGGGGAGCCAGGGTCTGTCTCATGGCCAGGGGGCATCCAGGGGCAGAGAAGTAGGTGGCTGGGTGTCTGTGGGGACTGGTGAGAGGGCCTGTGTGTCAGTTCACACGGCCGCAGGTAGACCTAATGCGTGTGCAGGGCTCACCCAGGCCCCAGAGCACGCGTGCACATCGGGGTGAGGAGGCAGGTGTTCATGGGACACAGCATGCGTGTGCATATATCTGTTATCCACGAGGGTGTGTACAAGTGTGCAAGTCCACGTGTAGATGGACGTGGGTTAGGGGTGTTTGGACACCTGTATGTGACAAGGCTGTGAGCTGGCAGGGGAGGGGAGGGGAGGGGAGAGCAGGAGCTGGTTAGCAGAAGCCTGGGCAGGTGGGGGGCAGGGTGCAGACCTAGGGCTGGGTGTGGCATGGGCATGCGCGCACAGATGTGAGTGCATGTTTATGGGGGAGGGGATGACCCTCTGGCCTTGCCATGGCCCCAGCTGTGGGCCCTGTTCCCAGAAGACCCATCAGAACCACCTCCCTGCCCTCTTTGGTCCAATCAGCCCGTGGCCCCAGCGGGAAAGCAGATTGCCACAGCCCTGCCTGATCTGCCCTTCCCAAGCTGATTACATTTTCCTGCGTGTTTCTGCTTTTGTTGCTGATTAATCACAGCCTTGTCTTGGGGCCTGGGGAGAGGGGGCTCAGAGAGGGATGCCAGCTCTGCTGAGCTGGGCTGGGCTGGGCCGGGCCTGGGCCCCAGCACTCTCTGGCACAGCTCTGGAGGGGGCTCCCAACAGCACCTGGAACCCGCAGAGGAGTCAGGAGGGACCCCAGCTATTTGCCTCCCCAGTCGGGTGCACATCAGGACTGTGCCTGGGGCTCCGAGAGGCCCCAGGAGAGCTCTCCTCGTCCACCTGTCCCGCTGTTGGACAGGCCACCACTGGAGCTGACTGCTCTGAGCTCCCTCGGGTCCTCTGCTGGAGCAGAGGAGTGAAGCTGTGAGAATTTAGAACTCGAGCCAGGTACACCTGAGGCTCCTGCATCTACCACCTCTTTGCTATGGGAACTAAGTCACCTCCCTTAACCTCCTGGGGCCTCGGTTTCCCCCTGGTGAAGGGGAGGGAGGAATGCCACCTCCCAGGCTGTGGTGAGCATGGAGCGATGGGACAGATGAGAGGTGCCTGGAGGTGCCTCCCTATACCTCTTGGGAATTTCCTATTAGCATGAGAACCCCCCTGAGAAATATGAATTAATAATAATTATAGCTGCCACGTATTGATTGAGAGCGTGAGCTGCAGTAGCTCGCTCCTGTGGCATTCACAGAGTGGCCAGGCTACAGCAGCCCAGGCCAGCCATTTCGAAATCCCGCACTGAGGGAGGGTGGGCTGCAGCCTGTGAGGGGCTAGTGGGCCACACAGCTCCTGGGGACCCCCTGAGAGGCTGCCGCAGAGCACATTAGTACTCTACTTGCTTGACGGAGGAGTACCTCCTGCTGTGTCCCCTGCGGCTCCCAGCCTTGCTGCCAAGGTGGAGAATTTCAAAGGATGGTGAAGAAACAGTTCCTGAGATGAATCGAATAAAAATCAGGTGGGTGGGCCTACTTCACGTGGCTGGCCCTGCGGGCCTGACACGGGCCTCCTCCAGGCCTCAGCCTCTGCCTATAGCCCAGGGGCTGGGCTGTCTGCCTTGTGACCAGGCTGCTCTCTGGAGCGGGCTCCACCAGGCCCAAGGGACAGGACTCGATGGGGATTATAGTCCCAGGGCTCTAGTGCACCCCACTGCCTGGCACATCCCTGAAACCCCAGCCTCTGGTGACTCAGTCCAGTCTCTGTCCTCTCCCCTGGTGCAAAGCCAAAGCCCACAGAGCTGGCCGTGGGCCCATGGGTCTTTCATCTGCCACCAGCTACACCTGCTCCCCCTTCTGCTGTGGATACATGAGCTACACCTGGCTGTGCAGGTGACCTGCTAAGTCTCCTGAACCTCTGAAGGTAGTTTAGCCTTGCCCCCATTCATGCATGGGGGCACAGAAGGGACCAGGCTGAGTCATGCAGCTGTATGGGGAGAGCTGGGGGTTCAAGCGCAAGGTGGGAGCAGGGTGGGGCCAGGGCCCAGGCTCTGAGCCATGCTGGTCTCTCCCTGCCCTCTCAGGCTCAGAGGAATGCTGCCCCCTCTGGAACCCATTGTCAGCCTCTTCTACTTCTGTGCACCTGGGTGCCAGGTCTTTTGAGCAAGCCAGGCTGGGAGTCAGGGGATGAGGAGGAGCTGCTCCCACCTGAGACTCACACAGCAAGTGCCAGAGGGCTGGACACATGGCTGGGGGCAGCAGAGAATGGGACGGGGGGTGGTTTTTACAGAGGGAGGACATGAAGACAGGGCTTGAAAACTCTCTGACATGGTGTGGAAGAGGCAGTGTCACAAGCAGCAAGAGCTCTGCATGGAGAACCCAGAGTTGCCATGTGACCTGGGGTGTCTACACTCACCTTTCTGAGGCTCAGCTTACCTGTTAATAGGAACACACCTAACCCTCGGCATGAACACTTAGATCCCACACCTGAGTGCTCAGTGCATGGAAACGGTGGTTCTTACTGTGGGTCAAGGGCACTCCAGGAGGAGGAGCCAAGTGGGCAGAAGCTCAGAAGGTGAGGACCACCTCAGCTCTGGAGGACAGGGTCTAGGTTGCATCCACAGATCCTGTACCTGGCACAAGGCTGGGCTGGGCTCAGGAAGGGAGCCGGGGCTGCATGAACATCTTAATGAATGAGTGAGAGAATGAATGAATGAGTGAATGAATGAGCGATCGCCCACCAGCCCTTTGGCACTGCAGGCCCATCCTCTTCTCTGCACATCGCTGGGGAGCAGATGGCGTGATTGCAGGGTGTGATTTATGTCTGTCGCTCCCCCATCTGGGGAAGGTACTGCTGCCATCACACTGCACTCCCCGGGGTGTCACCAGGACACTTGTGAGGCCCTCCCTAGAAGGGTCTCCACAGACCTCACCCACTAGTACCTGGGTCAGAGTGCTGGAGACACCAGGAGAGGTAACCCACCTGTGACTCTGAGAGAATCCACCAAGTGGCAGGGAGGCAGGGAGAAAGAAGTGGGTACCACTCTGTCCAGAGGCTGGATCCCTCCCCCCCCCCCCCAGAGACAGGAGCCCTCTCCTGTCAAAACCAACACGCTCCCCACTCTCCCTGGTCAGGGGAGTGCTCCTCTGAGGCCAACATTCGCTCACGACTGCTGTTCAGCACCAGGGAGAGCTCCTGGCAGAGCCCAGGGCCCTGCAGAGTAGGGTGAATTTACCAGGGACACAGAGCCTGATAAGGCAATAAACGAACCCATTGTCCAGACGAGGAAATCAAAGTGGAGGGAGGGCAAGCACCAAGCTTAGGGTCATGTCAGGACTGCTGACTGCAGCCCTGCTTGAACTGGGGGGCTGCTGGGGGTGGCAGGAGGTAAATGGGGTGGGGGAGGGGTGTCCAGGGAGGGCAGAGGTTCTGGCCTCTGCTCCTTGGCTAGGGAACAATATTGTTCCGAGAGCCCGCTGGGGACAGTGTCTGGAGGTGAATAAAATATTCATTGGCTGGGCAAACTCACACAGTCACTTGATGAATAATGGAATTTATAGACTTGCAGAGGCAGACCTAGCTGAAAGGGGGTGTAGCCCCGACTCCTGAGGCCTCTGTCTGCTCTGATCTCGTCCTGCCCTGGGCACCCCTCCTGGGCCTTTAGATGCCCAGCTCCTGCAGGTGACAAGGGAAGACAGGACAGAGCAGGTGACAGAGTCTATGAGAAGGAAATGGGATGAAGGGGACAGGTCCTTGAATTTGTTGCTCTTTGAGAAGCAACTTGGCAGTAGAGAAAGGGCACTGGACTTGGAGTCCATTGTGGCTGGGATGAACGCTGTCTTCTATTACCAGCTGTGTGCTCTGCGTGTGGCTCTGTCCTGCCTCAGGCTCCTCCCCTGTAAAATGGGGCTGATGCTGCCACCACACAGCTAGGGTTGCTGCGAGGATCTGATGAGATGATGGAGGTGACAGTGCCTGGTGCCACTGTCCCAGGCACGCACAGTGCTCAGACCTGTTGCTGCGGCTGGACCTTCAGGTCCTCCCTTCTGGGCCCCCGGGCTCCCCTGAGCCAGGGAGTGGTCTACAAGGCAGAGGGAGGCATGGCTGTGGGAGCAGAGAAGCTTCTGGCTCTCAGGGCAGGGTCTGTGAATAAATGCAACAAACTGGTGGAGGGTGAGAGGGAGACAGGCATTCACCCAGGACCCCCACTGCACAGTCTGCTTCCTCTGGGCTGGGCTGGGGCCTGGGTAGGGCACTTTTAAAAAGTCCTCTAGGAGCTTTTAAGGTGCGGCCAGGGTTAGAACTCCTGCTCCAGAGGCAGAAGGCCTGATGGAGGAAACTGAGCCTTGCCAGG